TTAAGCAACTTCTTTAGGGAGAAAAGACGTGGGTAAAATTTCAGATCGATATCTCAAAACTGAGGGACTAGTTCGCATATAATAAAATGAAGTGGAATTTGAGTCGAAAAATAGAAATAAAAAATAAATATAATAATTAGAATAACATTTCTTAAGTTAAGTTATTTAATTAACAAATTTGTTTGTGTACCACATACACTAAAATGTCTTTCAAACTGCCTAAAAAATTCAATTTTCCCACATTTTGTCCCACTGTCCCCCCTCTCCAACTAATTGAAGTGAGTGTATGCTTGAGTCCGCTTTTTCAATTTATGTTCACAGCTTTAACGTTAAGCGAAACACATCCGTATCCATCGTGTTTACCCAGAGTGCCGGCAATTCAAGCACAAGGCATACATGGCCCAGCGCAACGCGCATTCCCCGAACCAGTCATTTGGTAGTACACCTTCACGCAACCTTTCGCACCGCTCTCATGGAAGTAAATTAAATTTTTATTTTTATTACGAAAATATTTTATTTAACCTTACGAGAAGCAAGCAATGAACACCATTTATAAGTGCATACACATACATACATGCATATGAATATACATATGCGCATGTGGTATGGGTCGCATCAATATAGGCTACGTGCCTACTTTGCCACGCAGTGTGCCGTACCTGTGCGTCGCATTGATCTTCGTTCGTGTGAGTACTTGCTACCGGGAGACCAGTGCTATCACTCCAACGCTGCTTGGCTAGTGGATGCGCGGAAGCGTAAGTGGCCATCACGACCGCCATAACCACCGCGACCAACAACAGTTATCCAACCGTTATCCAACAACTGCGACAGCAAGCGCAACAGTCAGTAAGAATGTGTGGCATGGGGCATGGCGCACATCTTTTGACTTGCGTCTCGAATCCACTTTTCCGCGCATATAACATTGTCGTCGTCGAGTGCGTTGTTCGGTATAAATTGCATTTTCCCTTTCCTTTCCAGTAGTGCCCAACGCTCGTTCCATCGAGTACTCGTCTATTTGCGTGCGCACTCAAATAAGCTCATCAGTGATGGCGTATGTTCATTCCGAAATGAGTCTTTTTACATGCTCGCATTTTTATAGTGAGTGTTTCTGTTAGGGAATTTCATTTCTTAAAGCCATTTTTCAAAGTTGCGCTCCGAATTGAACTGAACAGTTCAAAAGTAAGAAAATTCTTACAAAAAGTTGGAGGATTCCTCAAATGATGAATGTATATTTGCTTACTATAACCAACACCTACCGTCCATCTAAGGATCTGGCTAGAATTCACCATCGGTATTTCTCTCTTGAGCTCTCGCCGATTCGCACTCGTTCTTCTTGTTTCTACTCCGCATTCCTAATGGTCTCAGCATCTCTTTCTCCCTCCTGCTATACCTGGTAACCAAAAACACTTAGGCCGTTCTCCCATATTCCCATTTTCCGTTGACATACCGTCTGTCTAAGGATCTCTTCCACTATCAGTGACCACCATCCATCTTCGGTATTTCTCTCTAGAGCTCTCCTCGGTATTTCCCTCTAAAGCTCCCGTTCGCTCTTATCTCTACTTCGCATTTTCCATACACTTACTCGTTCACCCAAAGTTTCACCGGTGCTCCCCGACTCACATACACTTGCCTAATGCTTTCACCAGTCCGACAAATCGTCGAAAATATTTTCATAATAATAGGATCTTATCAAAAGACAAAAATAATTCAACGTAAGCACCCTGTAAATATAAATACTACATACGCGCCCAAATGTATGCTTCACCGCCACATCGCTTAAATTTATATTTCGCCGACGATTTCACTATTTATTATACGTTTACCCGACAGTGTAATTTTGCGAGCAGCGCCAATGAGCTTGTACGTAATTTCTTAAAATGCTTATGGGGCGCTCTCTAATCTCATAAACCGCTTGAAAATAATATTAGGCCAATTGAAATTATGAATTACCCGCCACAACTTAGAAATGAAGCATTTGCGTTTTGTATTGTGCGCTCCCTTCCCCTCAAATTGTTGGGGTTGCGCTTTCTTATTGTTTAGCTTATGCTAACTTTTTAATAGCCCATAGGGAGTTATAAATTCAAATATAAATTAAATTCCCAAACAGAAAAATAAAAGTGAAAATAACAAAAGTAACATATTTATTTGGCAATGTTTGTATGTATGTGTGTCTGTGCGCTTTGTAATAACTATTTAGATAACACTTGCACGTCGTAAATCTCATTTTACGAGTAGAGATAGTGTAATTAGATCAAGCGCACGCTTTAGCTTTGGCCAAGCGACCTTTTGCTGTGTGTGATATAATGTTTGAAATATTATATTTTAATTTCTATGGCATATATGAGCATTTAAATGAAAGCTTATAAATTGTTGTTGCTGAAAAGTGAAATGAAAATAGCTGTAAATTGTATCAGCCTTCATGCGTGTGTGTGTGGAAATCATAATTTGTGGCTTAACATAACTGTAATTAGTTGGAGTTTATTACATTTTGATAGCAACGCTTGCGGCTCTCTTAAATACATGTCTATTTGAAGGCGTTAAGCATTAAAATTTTCCTCTGTTGGTAATTAAGCAGTGCGTTGGGCAAGAGTTGCCAAATGCTTGATTTATACACACTTTATACAAAATGTTTCACCAAGGATATACAGCCTTCCTGCCAAGTAGTATTAATCATTGTTAAGTGAAAGAAATATATTCACAATAGGCCCTGGCAGTTGGTGCTCTATTTCTGTCAATATTTTGCTTTGTAAATAGTAAAGGTCTGAAATACCTTTTTCCTGTCAAGGGTTAATAATACGCTTTAGACGAGAATGTAGAAGAGGTTTAGGAGGGGAGGAGAATAGGTAATCTATACCTACGGGACCAAAATGGATAGCGGGTTTGGAACAGGAGTATACTCCTATGATCTTCATATCATATTCCCAGCGGGAGTACTAGGCATATAGAAGGCTTGTGTAGTTATATTTAACTACGGAAGATACAGAAGGCGCCCGTTCAGATATCCAGATGACACTACTAACCCTGCCGTCCCCAAAAGATCAACTCGAGTGTAGTAAACGAGCGAGGAAGGCTTTAAGCTCACTAACAGGAGCACTCGACTCAGTTATCAGTGAGGTTCCCAGTCGTAGGAACATTTTCGGCAACCAAAAAGGAGATGAGCTGGATACTTCAGGAGCCTCTCTAGACGAATCCCAGGCAGTGACAATACCGTGTCCGCTAAGAATGATCAAGAGGGAGCTCAATACGCAATTTGAAATATAATGGTGCGAGGATAGCGTGTAGTATATACAGACTTACAGCTAGCATAATGACTTTCATAAAATAGGATCTACAAATTTGCCGTTAAACTAAGAAGTTGCCAGAAACCCTATTTTATTTAGTTTTATTCATGGAAATAGTGGATACTTCGATATACTCTCAAATAATCGCAGAAAAGCGAGACGAATAGCGCATACGATCAAAAAGAGATTTAGCTAAACTGTAATATGGTATAATTTTTGAGAGGGAAAATTCGAGAGGAAAGCTTGAAAATTTTAGATTTTGCAAACATGTTTATTGATCTCAATGAATATTAAATATCACTAAGACCAAGTTGCCTACGAAATACAAGAAACCATATTTCAATTGTTTCATATTTCATAGTCACAATCACTTGAAGATATGACCAATATATAACCAATATGTAACCAATATATAACCATTTTATAACCAAACCTCATATTTTGTTTCAACATGACTGGTTTCTGTTATGTGGACTTTCTTTCGCCTGTAAAATTATGAAAAGGGATATTACGCTATTTTGCATTTTAGATGGCGATTATTCTTCTATTTATACTATACCAGTAAATTTCTTATTGAAAATATACTAATAAAGGGTCCTAAAACTACTTGAGCTCGTTTCTAAAAATCTTTAAATTGAAATAACTTTTTGCATATAAAATTAGTTTAAATGCGGACTAATATGAAGTGTATACAAAACTGAATATGAATTATTTTTGTCTCAAAGTCAAGCCTTAAAGCAACCCTCGTAATACAGTTTAAGACTAGCAGTTAGTAAATTAATTACTTTTCAATGGCGAGTGGTTATTTTTCCCCCTTCTTGCTTCATTTTTTTTTTTCTAACTAGTCACATTACTTAATTTACGGAAGTCCTACGAAACAATTACCAAAATTCAACATCAAAGGCAAGCAGGAGTATTAAGCTCCGGGGGGAGAGAGAGACAGAGAAAATGGAATTACAGACGAAACTTGAAGCCGAAGCGAGCCAGACAAGCAAGCTAATGAGTGCATAAGCATATTTTTTTATTTAATTTATTTATTTTTTCTTTTATTCATTTAATTATTTGTGTTTTTGTGCTTATTCCTATCTATTTTTTCTTTTTGTTTTTTGCTTAAGCTTATATTTCTTTATATTGAGTTATAGACCACCAGTGAAAGAAAACTGCAGCAGACATTAATTTGGTAGTCACTAAGTCTGATAAAAATAGCCAAACGTAGACTACACTAAATGAGTTAAGATACTTAGAAAATAACACTGCACGATATGTGAAGTAAGCAGTGACGTGAAGGCGGTTGCTTGGTTAGATAAAAGAAATAGCGACTAATCCGCTTGCCAGCATTGGAAGCGGCTGAGGTGCGCGGTTGACTAGGCGGAGGCATACAAATTACGGCAAATCTAAAGTAGAGAATGCCTGCAGACAGCACGAAGGCGACAATTGTAGGCAGTCAGACGCTATTAAAAGCACGAATCACAACAAATACGAAAAAAAATCTGCCAGCAAATTGTGGATTTCCCTGGGTAAAAGAAAATCATTTAAGGGCAAACACCGCAATGTGCCATTGTCTTCCGGCTAAGTGTGTGTCTATGCAGTTTGAAGTGGTTTTTCGCTGCTAAATATGTGTACTTGCGTTTGTTTGTTTGTGTGTTGTTGTTGCCAAAGCTCGCAGTTAAGCCGCATTGGGCGCATGCATAAATTCTATTTAACCTACTTACTACTTACCTTGTGACAAGCGAGCAATTGCCGCTCACCAAATCGAAGGCGCGTCTGTCTATAAATGTATTTGTGCGCATATGTGCGTGTGTGTGTGCTTGTCGTTATCCTGCGCTGCGAAGACACAGGCACCTTTGCTGTAAGCGCCTATGCGACTGCCACTCGTCTGTGATGTCTTAATCCTCGTGAAATGACAGGCGTGGATTTTGCTGCTACGAATGGGATTAAGCACAGAATGTCGTTTGTTTTTATGCGTTTAATTTAATTTTATGTTTTGTTTGATTTCGATTTTCCACCCACTTTCTATGTAATTTCGTATTTTTCATCACTTTTATTTTTATTTATTTATTTTATTTTATTATTTTCTTTTATTATTTGCAACCGCTTGCTACGCGCACTCATAGATTCGTGTATTTATATACCGTTATATATTGTATTTTTTTTCGTTTATTATTTTTCACTTTGCATTCACACTTTATTCTCGCACTTTATTTTAGATTAAAAGTGATTGTTTTAACATTTAAAATTCATTTGATGTACGTTCAACGATTTTCCAGCCACACGCAGAGCAGTGTATGGTGGCGCACGGCGCTGGCGCATAGCCGTCTACAGCAGCTTACAATGATTTAAGCCCCGTTAATGCGCTGCAAAAATAACAACCGGAAAGGAGTGTGTGTGAGAGAGAGAGAACGCAAAAAATAATGGTTTAAATAGTTTATATATAAAAGCAAAATAAAGTGTTAATATCGCCATCATACTTCTACGTATTCATATGTATATACATACGTGTATGTTAGGGTGAGCTAAAACGAGATAATAGCGTATTTACAGTTTAAAATAAATTTGGAAAATTGAACACACAAAAAATTTACTTTGTTTGCAATATCCTTCACAAATACAAACATTTCCTTATTAGCACAGAATTGCTCTGGTACAGTTGGTATGGCAGCTATGTGCTTTTATAGTCCGATCGGAACAATTTCTTCGGAGATTATATTGTAGCCTTAGGTAATGTTACGCGACGAATTCTGTAAAGTTATCTCATGAAGTAAATAAGTTTTCCATACAACTACTTCACCGCAAACGCTCAGTTTGTATGGCAGCTACATATATGCTAAAGTGATCCGATATCGGCCATTCCGACAAATGAGCAGCTTTTTGGAAAGAAAAAACCGTACGCAAAAATTCATATCGATATCTCGAAAACTAAGGAACTATTTCGTACACAATCATATAAACGGACGGACCTGGCAGACAGAGAGACATGGCTGAATCGACTCAGCTTGTCATCCTGATCAGTTATATATATACATTATAGATTCTTTGACTTTTCCTTTTGTGTGTTACAAACATCAACATAATACCTAAATTTTATTATTTTCCTGATTTCTTTTCTAATTCGACCAGCCTCATAAACCTAATTTCATAAAATCGTTTATACGCCCATTAATTATTACATCTAATCCACGTTTAGCCTCCCAAGTGGATTTCGCAAAAGTGCCGTTCATTAACCCTCTTTAAATAATTTACTCCTAAAAAATAAAAATGTTTTTCAACAACCCTCACATTTGCTACCAACAATTCAATGCTACCCACGCTGCAATGCACAAGTAACCGAGACCATATAAATACAAGTGCAAGCAGTCGGCTACATTTACAACAACCAGTCGTACTTGTATTAAATTACCGTTCGCTTTTTGCTGCCCTTCCATCATTTTATTACATTTAATGCTTTAATTTACACAATGTCACTGCCTTTAGCAGATTTCTGCTTATCCCGAATTTGTTGTGAATTGCATTTTTTGTTATAGTTGTTGCTAGTTTAGCATTTTACGCGCACACATACATATTTCTCATCACAATTGATGTGCAATTGAAACTTCTAAAAACGAGTTGAAATAATACTACAACAACATGTGCAACTGTTGAAAGGCAGGTGAATGGCATATGCAAAAACAATAACAAGTGATATTATGTGAAGAGAGTACACGAAAAATAATTTTAATTAGTTTTAATTATATAAGGGGCTGGAACTTGGTTGGCGGCTTTTTACACATCCAACTTATAGTTCGTACTAAGCACCAAGTGAATACTACCTGTTCCTGTCATTCATTGTGGAGCCCAAGTTATACGGCTGAAGACTAGGCATTCGCATAAATAAAGTTCCAGCTTCCATCAACCTCCGGGTAAGCTCTGCATTCCATCAATTTTCCCTCTTTTTGAAGATGGAATCTTAAGTGTAGGTGCCCGTGATGACCACTGTAATGTTACTAAGCCCCTTGGAAAATTTGTGCATATTCCCTTAGAATCCACTGCTTCAAACAACCCTAGAAGAAACTGAATGGCCTGAGACAGCTTAGAGGAATTTTGCTTCCAGCTGCCGATTAACGGCCAGCTCATCTCTCTTTTCGTTCCCTTCTATATCCAAATGACTGAGTACCCAGATGATGTTAACAGAGTTACCTATTGAGAACCTAGTCAAAGTCTGCTTGCATAAACTTGCGCAATGAGATTTACTATTGGCGCTACGGATGGCCTTAGTTGACGCTGGGCTATCCACCTGAAGATTTATGGACTTGCTGGTTAGAGGAGAGGCTTTACTAGCCCACAATTTTGGCAGGAAATACTGAATTGTAGACATTTAATTTGCGACTACTTTCTGTATATGGATTGCAACAGAAGGTGTGAGTCCTGTTCCTATTTTACCCTCTGATTCGTCGGTGAATATATAGATTACTTTGTTGGAAGTGTAGATCAGAGAAAGATATTGGTACATTCTCCTCTATCACTTGTATATTTTGGGTAGCTGTGAGGGATAACCATCAGAGTCTTAGTTGCGACCATAAATCCCAGCAAGCAAACCCCCTGCACAAACAAGAGTAGTTTCTAGATTGATCGGAAGAAAAATGTATAGCTCTCAAATTTATATTCTCAAAGCAAAAACGAAAAAAGTTCACAGATTGATATCTAACAAGATTTTTTCTTTCTTTTCGGGAAGTACACATATTTGAGCTCTAATTGGGGATCCTTGGTTCCTTGAGTATAAACTATCGTCATAGAAAAATATGCCTTTCTACTGAAAAGAAAATGTATCGAAGGTTAAGGAATTTCTTATTGATCGGAATGTAAAAAAGTCATTATCTGACACACACACAGATGGTGATAAAGGGATCATTCGGTAACTGTGGTGCCTTGCCAACATTCATAGGCTTGATATGAGTTAGATAATGTTGCCTTAATACTAAGGGAACTATTTTACTTCAGTCATGAAAAATATTTAAGGAAAGTTCTATAACCTGCAGGACGACTCATAAGTTCTAGGCAAAGAGAGAGAGAGAGAGAGTTAGTTCAATACAAAATATTTATATTTTATACCACAACGTCCCTTGCCACACAAATTTTTTATCAGTGTACGAAGCAAACTGAGCTAGCGCATTGTGGTAAATATTTCATTTTCTATATATGTATGTAATAAATAAGTGCACATATATATATTTATGTATATAAGCATAACGATATATTGTATGAAATGAATGAGCAAAGTTTCAATTACAAAGCCTTGTAAATTTTTGTAGTGCCACCAGAGGAGTAAGCCAACTAAGCGAACAATCAACGCAAAAAGCCAAGCAGCAGCCAAACAGTTAATCACACAACTATCTGGCTGCATACCGACGCACATACACGCATATATATATTTAAGAGGGGGGAAAAGCAGCGAGCGAATTGGCGCTTGTACGGGAGTGGAGAGTGGAGCGTGAGCGTAAGTCAACACGGCAACACTGTATGACACAAAACGCAATAATTTCAGCAACTACTAATTACAACTGTTGAAGAAGCATCAAATGGCAAGCAGTGCGCGGAGCCACTTGCCAGCACACTCACGCAATCATTCACCAACACACACGCACACACAGACACCAACTCACCGAGTAGCTCGGCAGCTAAACGTCAGCGCACCGACACTTGCCTTGATCGTTTGTAATATGCTTTGTTTACTAAAATGTTGTTCGCATTGTTTTTAGGTTTTGCACTTGTTTTCTGCTGCTGTTGTTGTTGTTACTGCTACTGTTGACGTATTGTCATTTGATATCCTGTTAACGACAAAATGCATTAAATAAGCGAGCAAATGAAAGAGCAACAGCCACATGCAACTCACCACGAACGAAACGGAGTCACAAAAGTAATTGTAGAAGCAGACGAAGTGGAAATGGAAGTTGAAGTGTAAGAAGAAGAAGAAGCAAACAAAGAGGAAACCGTGTTATACTCGGAAATGAGCGATTTTCGGGTGAGACAGCATGAAATTCTTGATAATTACTGCAGCGTGTAACAAAAACAACAACAAGCTAAAGCTTTTGCTACGACTGCACCGAAGGTATAATACCATACACATTTGGATTTCATATACTTTAGAGGGGTATATAAATAGCTTTAATTTGTATGTGTTCGAACAGTTTGTATGGCAGCTATAAGCAAATCTGATCCAATCTGAGCAATATATTTGTGGATTGTAGCATTCTCTTTGACAATAATCTATGCCAAATTTAATGTAAATATCTGCTCAAATAAAAAAGTGCTCCATATAAGGTATTGATTTTGCATTTGACAGTTTGTATGACAGCTATATGCTATAGTAGTCCGATCCGAACAAATTCTTCAGTGATTATATATTTTACCAATAAAATAACCCCTCTCAAGCTTCGTGAAAATATTTTGTAAAATAAAAAAGTTTTCCATACAAGCACTTGATACCTATCGATCATTTGTATGGCAGCTAAATGCTATAGGGGTCCGATATCAACAATTCCGACAAATGATGAACTGCATAAGGAGCAAAGAACGAATGCGAAATTTCACAATGATATCTCAAAAACTAAAGCTTAGCGCATTTATAGAAAGCAGGACGCCTGTTCAGGGTATACAAAGGCATAAGAGAAGTGGCAACGACAGCAGCCGCTTACACAGCCTAACCCGCCACCAATGACAATGCTAATGGCAAGGTAATAGCATGAAAATTGTCAAACAACAGCAACAACAACAACGCAAAAGATAAATATTGTCAAAGCCATTTCACTAGCTGTTGCTAAAAACCAAATTGCCAACTTTCTCAAATTTGTCGCCGCTTTTGTTGTTGCTGCTTGTTGTAGTGTAACTAGGATTGCTCATGTCACTGCGCACTCACCTTACACTGTTTGGTAGAAATATGCTGCTTCGTCTCGTCCACTACCTGCTACCTGCTCTAAATAATTGCTACGGAAGACCCGAGCAACCAAGCGAGGCACACTAAGTAGCTGAA